TGGGAGAACTTGCACAATTGGTGGCTGACTAAATACTTTTTTGCCCCACTGTACCATGGGAGACAGGTTATCTTCCCAAATAACCAGGCCTCATGCCATGAAGGACTTTATAGGTCATAGCCAACACCTTGAATTGTACATAGAAGCAGACGAGTATCCAGAGACTTCACAGAACTGAGGTGTCACATGGGTACACTGAGGCATGCCCATCACTGCCCACACCAATGGATTCTGGACCAGCTGAAGCTTCCCAAGTGGTGTTCAAGGGCAGCCCCATGTAGAGTGCATTGCAATAATTAAACTATGAGATGACTAGAGCATGAGCAACTGTCTAAAAGGCCTCCCGATCCAGGAATGGGTACAACTGGTGCACAGGATGAAGCTGTGCAAAGACCTTCTAAGCACAGCTGCCATCTGCTCATCAAGCAGGAGCTGTGAGTCCAAGAACACCCCCAGATTGCACACCACCCTTGAGCGGGTTAGTGCAACCCCACCCAAGATCAAAGTTGGAAAGTCTGCAAAATTCTGAAGGTCCCAACAACTACAGCCACTCAGTCTTGGAAGGACTGAAGACAGTTCCACTCCATCCAGGCCTTGAGCGGGTTAGTACAACCCCACCCAAGATCAAAGTTGGAAAGTCTGCAAAATTCTGAAGGTCCCAACAACTACAGCCACTCAGTCTTGGAAGGACTGAAGACAGTTCCACTCCATCCAGGCCTTGAGCGGGTTAGTACAACCCCACCCAAGATCAAAGTTGGAAAGTCTGCAAAATTCTGAAGGTCCCAACAACTACAGCCACTCAGTCTTGGAAGGACTGAAGACAGTTCCACTCCATCCAGGCCTTGAGCGGGTTAGTACAACCCCACCCAAGATCAAAGTTGGAAAGTCTGCAAAATTCTGAAGGTCCCAACAACTACAGCCACTCAGTCTTGGAAGGACTGAAGACAGTTCCACTCCATCCAGGCCTTCACAGCCTCCAGGCAGTTTGACAGCCTTTGACAGTTTTAATATTTTTATTTTTCTTATGTCTTTCTCTGGGATTCTGCTTTGTTTTAATGGTTGGTAGCTTTGATTTTGTGCCGTTCTAGAATTCTTTTTCTCATCCGAAAAGAAATATAGTGATCTGAGTGGGAGATAGGACATTTACTTTCTTCTTGTGGTCAGATCACTGCATTCAGTGGCATTACCCCTGTGCAACTAGTGAACAGCAGGTATTGTACCATTTCAGAAGTAGTGATCTAGGATCATTGTAAATAGTACATCAAAAAACAAACTGAAGCTCTTCTCACCTATCTTGCCTTGCTCGTTTGTCCAGGGTCGTTATCTTTATTTCACCATCACCCTGTGGTCTTCCATAGAGTAAAAGGGATTGATTCTGAAAAAGTAAAAATTACATTAATTACTTAAATGATATCCGACTATGTACTGGAGGAAAACGCTGCATTCAAAATTCTGAAAAACAGTTGGATATAAGGCAGATGGCAAATAAAAATACAAAACTAGCAGCAGGGCCAGTAACATCTCTGACCTACTCTGCAAGGGGTGTTCAAAATGTTTCAACCTCAAAGCACTTGCTTCAAGTGGTTGCAGTTCAAGGTTGGTCATCTGAAACATTCTAGTGTTGCATCTGTTCAGAACACTGCAATTGCATCCTTGTGTTGAGGGTTGCAATTAGCTTTTTCTCAACTTTTCTAGCCCACAGGCACAGATCATGAACCTACTGCTATTGGCTTAGGCAGGGTGGGGTGATCTGAACGGCAGTGGAGTGCTGAGGAACAGGTGTTTCAGAAGCACATGACTCATAGATCCAGAATGCTGCTGCTGAAGACGACGACTAGGGAGTCTGGTTATAGTCAGTGCCTGTGACTGTACTGGTATCGCCACACCTTCCGCTGGAGATGAGGAAATATATCAGGCTGTTTCTGAAGCAAGCTGCAAGCTGTCCTGTTTTAATAGGATTTTTCTTCTTGCTGTGTCTTGGTTTTAACTTTCCAGCTTTAAGCTGCAGTAAGGGGCACTGGTTACAGGGAAGAGGAAGGAAGAATTCCCCCTTCCTTGCCATTCCATTTCCCTTCATTTTATGTATT